GAACTGCCTAGTATGTTACGGGAAGCGCATTGGTCAATCAGCAGCCCTACCTCCATTTTTCAGCTCAACATGTTTTCTGCCCTATTGTATAGCAGAATTTTTCCAGCGTCCCTTTTCCAAATGTTTTATTTCAGATAAAATATCATGAATCTTCCTTGTTATTTTCAATATCAATTGTATTATAAGATTTGCCAAGAGTGGTGTTTACTACATCATTACCAAGCCATACGTCACCAAGGTGTACTGTTACATGGAGTACATCCCCGGATGTGGTGGAGGAGGCTAGACTACCATCATGAAGACCGATGGTCACAAGGTAGTACAACATTACACATTGAGAAAATCTATATTTGTGGAATAGAGTTTTACGTGACTTCCATTGATTGCAGCAAACTTTCAAGTACACCTCAGCCCTGTGGGTCAATAAAGAGCCATATAACATGCCTGGAGGCGAATTAGGTGTGGATAACCAAGAAACCAAGTTACCTACCTATTGGACGATGCCCTTCAATAGTCTCTGTCTGGGAATGAAAACCAGTGGGAACACGAGTGAACCAAACTGGATTCGCCTGAAATATAGGTAAGATACAAAAAAAGCAGCAGTAAGGGGGACTCTCGGTGACCCCCCCAGAATTACATGGGTATTACCCGTGCTCACGTACGAGCGTCCGCATTGGAAATTACCCGCGTTGCGCGATATGTCCCTTACTGCTGCTGTGTTAAGGGTCGCAAACGAGGGTTAAAATATTTCTTAGATACAGATGGACGCTATCAGGAGCATTAGGAACAAGACTGTGCGCAGGCTGAGGACTCAGGTGTTGGATCGTTTGGATGCTGACTTCGCCTTCACGACTTTTATGGAGGGAGATACGGACGAGACCATGGATGAAGAAAGGGCTGAAAAAATAATCGACTTAATTCCTGAAGGCGRTTACCGTTTAGAATTGACGTTTATAAAGTACCTAGATGGTGACTGGGTAATAGAAAAAGGCCGTAACCCCATTCGGGCGTCTGGTAAGCAGAACCTGTTTGTTCTGAGTAAGCAAACGCGTCCGGAAGCGTTGGTAGGCATTGATATGCTGTTCTACGAAGTTGCTTACCCCGTTACGGCGGTCATCTACGGTGCGTATGAGATCAAGAAGCCGGACGTCAAGAAGTTAAGGCCAATGCGACATCCCGGCAACTGCGTAGGAAAGTTGGTAAGGGAATTCTTTGAAGATTCCTCCCGAGGCGGTAAGTTAACTCTGAAAAGAAGAGAAGCCATTAGGAAATGGGAAGATGTCACCCGCAGGGCAGGAGCCACGATAGATAACATCAAGAAACTAGAAGTTCTCCTAGAAAGGCGCATATATGTGAAAGACATCACAGACGGGTTCATTTATCCGGGGACGCATAAATACGGCGGTCGGGGGGCTCCTATTGTTATCTACCAGCATAACGAACATGCTTGGAGAGAACTAAGATTCCCTAAGAAGAAGGAGACAAAAATCTACGAAACCACGCCACTTGCTGAATTAGTCCACGAGAATTCCATTTGGTTGATGGATTCGGAAGGAAGTCAATTTATGACTCAAGATGGTACTCTGTATCGCCCCCAAGTAGAACATCAACGCATTCAAAGTGCCTGTGAGACATTAGGGGAAGACTTCTCAGACGAGGTCCTTAGCAGCCGCAGCTTGGACTTCCTAGCCGCAAAGAAGAGAAATGGGTGGAAATCGACTCCTAAGGAGTTCAAAGACATAGCCAAAGCCTGCGTAGAACACGGCCACGGCGGTCTATGGAACATGGAGTACGACGAGGAAGAATATGTGTCCTTGGACATGAAACATTGTTACCCTGCCAGCTTCAAAGGCCTGGGAGATTGTAAGGAGTATTATGCCAGATACGGGCATCCAGACTCTCAATTCTTTCGTGTGTCCTTAGACGGCACCTACGATGCGCCAGCGACGGGGTTCGTCAGGCTAACATCTTGGAAGTTGGCTAAAGACTTACATACCATAATTTACGCATGGTACGGGAAGCATCTACAAGAGAAAGAATGGATACCCATACCGTTGTTAAAGTTCCTAGAAGAACGTAAGCTCCTGAAATACACAGCGCATGAAGCCATACTCTG